GCCTTAGAACTCCAGCATTTACATCTGAAGTCAACGTATTTATAACTACAGATTTTTTTTAATCCCTGACTTTCTTTTTATCCCTATGATGCAAAGAAGGTAAGTAATAGCACAACTTGAACAGCAAGAGCTCTGCTGCTTTTTTTCTGAAGCAGTCTTCTTTACCACTATAGGAAATTAAAAATGCAAACACTAAAATCTAGTCAATCAGGCAAACAGCATCATGAATGTCAGAGCTCTGAGGGCACAAATTAGGGAATTAGTTTTTCCCTTAACAGAAGTATAGTCACTAAGTAATTTGCTTTCTTTTAACTAGAGTTATCCCCACCCATTAGTTGAAGAAGTCCAAATTAAAATCACTATTCATTAATTATTGCGGGAGGCATGTTCCAGCCTTGTGTTAGAACCTCAGTAATAAAGCTAATCAACTATAATTTTCTTCATTGTTATCTCAGAGCTCTCAAAAGGAATAATTTGGGGCAGGGGAGAAATTGGAAATTCCTAGCTATTGCTGACATGCAGGCAGATATTTCTGAGGATTTTTAATGTATTCAATCATCAAATTTTTCATTGAATTTAAGTTTTTTCCTTGTTCAATGAATACTTGCTAGACATTGGGATACAGTGGTGAATATAATCATGTACTCCCTATCCTCACAGAGCTTACATTCTAGTAGGAGGGAAGGTTAATACAGGAGAAATCTTACTTACATATTGTGGAGAGCCCTTTAGAGGAAGGGAAGAGGGTACAAGAAAGAATACTATAGAGATGTCAGTTTATCTTGGTGAATGTGGGAGCTCTTCCTTAAGAAGGTGACTTAAGCTTTGATTATAGGGTTGACGGTCACTTACACTCCACATAATACTCTTCTTTCAGTTTCCTTAGTATCACTCTTTCCTAATCTTCCTACCATTTCCTGGGCCATTTCAGCCCACCTTTCACTCTGGGTTACTTCTCTTCTATACACTCTTTAGCCGCTGAAATTCTCAGGGGCCATGTTCTAAGCCCTCTTCTCTTCTCACTGCAAAGTTCCTCCCAAGGCAATCCATTCCACTCCTATGACCTAAGAACACCTACATGTCAACAATTCCCTAACATATGCTTCCATCCTACACCTCTTCCCTAGCTTTGGATCCTATGTCAACTGCCTACATGACATCTGCACTTGAATACCTCAGAGGAACTATAATTTTCTTCATTGTTATCTCAGAGCTCTCAAAAGGAATAATTTGGGGCAGGGGAGAAATTGGAAATTCCTAGCTATTGCTGACATGCAGGCAGATATTTCTGAGGATTTTTAATGTATTCAATCATCAAATTTTTCATTGAATTTAAGTTTTTTCCTTGTTCAATGAATACTTGCTAGACATTGGGATACAGTGGTGAATATAATCATGTACTCCCTATCCTCACAGAGCTTACATTCTAGTAGGAGGGAAGGTTAATACAGGAGAAATCTTACTTACATATTGTGGAGAGCCCTTTAGAGGAAGGGAAGAGGGTACAAGAAAGAATACTATAGAGATGTCAGTTTATCTTGGTGAATGTGGGAGCTCTTCCTTAAGAAGGTGACTTAAGCTTTGATTATAGGGTTGACGGTCACTTACACTCCACATAATACTCTTCTTTCAGTTTCCTTAGTATCACTCTTTCCTAATCTTCCTACCATTTCCTGGGCCATTTCAGCCCACCTTTCACTCTGGGTTACTTCTCTTCTATACACTCTTTAGCCGCTGAAATTCTCAGGGGCCATGTTCTAAGCCCTCTTCTCTTCTCACTGCAAAGTTCCTCCCAAGGCAATCCATTCCACTCCTATGACCTAAGAACACCTACATGTCAACAATTCCCTAACATATGCTTCCATCCTACACCTCTTCCCTAGCTTTGGATCCTATGTCAACTGCCTACATGACATCTGCACTTGAATACCTCAGAGGAACCTCAAATGTAGCATAGTCACAGCTAAAATCAAAATATCTCACCCTCAAATCCTCTCTTCCTTCAACAACCTCCATCTCCCTAAACCAGACCATTCACTCAGTTGCTGTTTTCACTAATCAGGAAGTCAACTGTGACACCTGCTTATTCCTCATCTCCCATATATAACTAGTAATTCAGAACTGTTTAATTGAGAGCTAACATATATCTTGAATTTCATCACATTTTTTTCCATCTCCCCTGCCATTAATTCTTCCTGGATCCTGCAAGCCTTTTCTTATCCTTGCATCCATTTTTGCCCAATTCATTGTCTTAAATGAAAATGTAAGATTACTCCATGGTTTTAAAAGTCTTTGTTCCTAAGATCAAGTCTAAAATCATTTAGATGGTCTCTGAGGTCCTGAATGTTCTACCCACTGCCTAATCTTTCAGTCTCAGTTCATGCCAGTCTCAGCATTATTCTCGGTGCTTTGGCAACAATGGACTTCTTTCAATTTCTAAAACATAGAAGGACCTTCCTTTCTTGAAGACTTTGTACAGGCTGTTTCTTCCACCTGGAACATGTCAGGTCTCTCTGCTGTGTATCCTCAGAGTGCCATACTCTTCTCTGTATCAGATGGGAGTGCATTTGGCTGCAAGTAACAGATTACCCAACAGAAGTGGTTCCAGCAGTCAGGACATTTCATTCGTATCACAAAATGTTTGGAAATAGGCACTGCCAGGATTAGTGCAACATTTCAAAATCATTACCCAAGCCCAAGATTGCCCCCTTCTGATCCTCTATTCCATGCATGTTCACTTTCCCATTGAGGACCATTGTCTTCTGGTTACAAGGTGACTGTCAGAGCATTCAAGAGAGAAAAGGGGGAAGGACAGTTTCCTCTCATATAAACCACCTCTAGCCAAAAGTAAAACCTTTCTCAGGAGCCCCCATCACATTTCCCCTACATCCCCTACAGGCCCCTGCATTGGCCATATCTGTGTCATGTAGCAACTCTCAGCTGTCAGGGAGACTGGTTAGATGATTATGGGGAGATAAAAAGGGAGGAGGTGGGAATGGCTGTAGACTATACATAATCAGCAGTGTCTGATGGCTTCTTTCGAGAACTTATCAAAACAGCAATTGAAGAATTAAATATGTACATTTTATTCATTGCCTCCTCTGGGGAGATTATAAACTCTGACTGTGGGGAACATGTCTGTCTTATAAACACAGAATCAGCTCAGCATATGGCCTACAGAGGAAATCAGTTAGTGTTGGCTGAATGAATGAATGAATAAGAAAGAGAACAATAGAGAAGAAAATAGGTACACAAGAGACAGGAAACTGCCAGTGCAAAACTTTCTAAGCTGATTGTCTTATCTCATAGGTCATGGTTCAGCTCTCCATTCCAGTTAATTTGAAAACAATCTTTCATCAAAAATAAAAGACAACTTTTGAAAGGACTCAATTCATTGCACAATGAATACAATTTTACTAACCTCTTTATTCCTTTCATGTGAGCAGATCTGAATATTGTTGTTTTTATTGAGATCCAGGAATGAATTACTTAAAAAATAATAATAAAATTTTAACCCCTGTAGTAGAGTTAGATGATCCAGAAAATTTTAAATTGCCTCAAGTATATAAATGCAAATCAATTCATGGCTAAATCGCTCAAATATCATTCAACAAGAAAAATGTACAAAAACTAGAAAGTTATTTAAAAGAGTACTCAAAAAATAGTTGGTCTAAAATTTCCACTCCTGAGAACATCACACTAACAGAAAAGGATGTCATTCAGATTGGCTGATTAGGGGAAAAGTGGATATAAAATTCCTGGCACATAAAGGATGCTTGGCATATTTCTGTTCTTATATCTAAATTAAAGGAAAACCTGAGCTTACTCCAACTCTGTCATGTCCTAAATATGTAACTATGGGAAAGTAGAGGATGCTCAGGTTGACAGATATAACATGCAGTCACTCTATAACTTAAAAACTTAAATACAAAACAGTTAAATGGCATTGAATATAGTCATCAGTAGCTAATCTAAGAAAACATTAAGAAATAGATTAATATCCTCAACAGTGTCTCTATCAATACAGAATTGGTTCACGGTTTCTCATGGATATTCTGTTTCATCATCTCAAAACACAAAGGGCACTGACATACAAATATCACCATTTTTGAGAAGGAGTTGTAATGATCCACATATGCAGGCTTAGGTTTCAAGTTTTAAATATGGTTTTCATTTGAAACAAAATTCCTTAAAAAGAGAAATTGACTTTAGCATTGGCAAAGGGAGTCCCCTAAGAAAAAAATGTAAACAGATGGCTGAGGAAGATCACCCACATGCTACACCCAGATCTTGAGGAGGCATTTCTAAGAATGAAGTGGCACTTCCCAGCCTGGGCTACGTCCCACAAGGATCCTTATTTAACCCTCAGAAAACACGGCATTTATATCTCTTGCTGGAAAGAACCTCAGTGATCTTCAGTGATCCCCCACTTGCCTCCATGAGCCACACTAGCTTCCACCTCTCCCCAGTGTTCCAAGAAAAGGGAAATGCCAACCACTTGAGACATGCAATCCTCTGATAAATCAGTGTTCAGTGATCAGTCCTGAACTAACATCTTCCCATATAAACGGGCTGTTAAGTTCTAGCTAGGCATATTAAGCATTCAATTTAATGTATGACACACATCTGTTCTACTTTCTCAACGAGCAGAAGTTTCAAGATGACTTAAATCCTAGACTTAACCAAGTAGAAAAAAAAATCTTGGCAATGTTTAAAACTGAGGTTTAAAATATAATACGAATGAAGGCAAGAGAGACCATTTTGCTGGAACTAATGAAATTATAGACGTAAATCAAATCCACAAAATTACCTGCGCAGAAACATTAATTGTTTTTTTGTTTTCAACCTGAACCTATTTGTCTTTTCCTGTCATCAACATTTACCAAACACCTTCAGCTCTAACTGGCCCAAGGCACCAAAATATAAGCAAAAATAAGTCCTCTGTAGATGTGGTAATTATATTTCCTTAATGCCCCAAAGGCCATAAGAGGAAAACTCACAGATTTGTCTTTTATGAGAAGAGCACAGCACTGAATTCCAGCCATCAGCATCTTGTGGGGGTTCCAAGCCACAGAGTCAGCTCTGTCATGTAGAACAAAGAAAAGGACAGGGCAGGGAGGGGACTCAATTAGTTTTTACTGGTGGCAAGAGTACTGTCATTAGCAGCACATACGTTCAATACTAATATCTGAATTAGTATCAGGATTCCTTGTTTGAGTAGTTTAGGGAGACCACAGTTGTTTTTTGGTTTTTGTTTTAAGTAAAATTGTTGCTTTACTTTACTTTGTCTATTTTCAGAATGTCATTTAAGTGGGCAACATGCAAAGAGATTCTCTGGCCTGAATAAAAGGCTCTGCACCTGAGAAACTACATTTACCTGTGGATGCCACGCAGTAGCTTGCGGTGCTTCCTTGACATCAGAGCTGAACCACCCCAAGAAGCCTGTAAAGATAGTTATACAACCAAAACAATGTTATTTCAGCATTACTGGTTCATCAGCCAGTTGTCTTAGAAAACCCTGAGTGACAATCCCAATCTGCCTCACTTGAAACGTTTAAAGTCAATGTTAACCAACGCATACTCCATGAAATTTTCATCACTGGCTCTACTACATCACAAGAGATGGGCTTCCCTTGTTGCTTAGGATTGAAATTAGCACCTCATAATTGGTATATTAACCTGCTGAGTTGCATGTGGATGAAAAAGAGTCTCAGTCCATACCCTTTCTCAAATCTTAGAATCCAAAACAGACAATATATGTTGCATGTTCTACCATACACAATGTACAAATGCTGGTAGAAACATGGGCTCTGGGCTGCATTCTGTGTAATAACTGGGGCACAGGCTTGACAAGGTGATTAGAAGTGAATACAGGAACTCCTGGCCAGCGAGAATGGGATAGCGAGAAATTAGATTTTTCAGCTGAATAGCTTTCAGAGACATTTACAAATAAAAGATGAGAGAGTGGGAGAAGGGAAGCCTGGAACTTAATGAAGGTATTCACTGGAGACAAACACTGGGAGCAAGAGAGGAGGGAGCTGAGACAGGAGATGAGAGGAAGTCCCATGGTCAATACGTCTGGAGAGGAGGGTGCAAGAATCAGTATGAGAAATAAGAGAGTAGGCTTGGTCCTTGAAGATGAGCACTTCTCTGTCTTAATGTGTAAGGCTGTGAGAGGTGATGGCAGTGGGGGCATATGAGGGCCTGGGCTCAAGCTATGTTAAATGCTCTCTAAGGTTATTTAAACCACAGAGCATTGAATTGAGAGGTTGGAGCTGATATAACCTCAAATTTTTTAAAGGAAAAACTAAGGTTCAGAGGTGGCAGGTAAATTGTCCAAGGTCTCACAGGTAATAAAAACTCGATCCAGAGGCAAAGCCCATTCTTCTTTCTTGATAATACTATAACTCAGGCAAGGTGACCGTTGGCCCAAATGGTAGGGCCCAGTGTGGGGAATTGTGGAGATGGAGGCAGCATGCACAGGAGGAGAGTTGAGGGGCTGCGTAGGATGTCAACTGTCCTATATTTGGCTATAGAATATACAAAGACGAGGGAGATGCCAAGACCATGCAGAAAGAAGTGGTGAGATTGTGTGCCCTGTGAATGTGGATGGTGAAGGAAATGAGGCCTCTCCGTGATCCTGAGTATCACAGGTGCTGAGCCCATCAGTGAACAGTAAAGAGAAAGGACAGAGCAAGCTACTCTGTGGCCTTAAATACCACTTAAAAACAGTGCTGTCATTCAGGGCTGGGACCAGGAGCAGGTGAGTCACCCAGGTACACAATTTTAGGGGGTACTTAGTCTCAGAAGTGGGCTCTTTCACCCCAAAGGGTTGTGAGCTGAAGGTGGTGTGCATGCAAATCCCAGACTTCCCAGTTCAAGGACTGGGGTCTTGAGGTGGCCCATTAAGTCCCTTCCATGAGCACTGTCTTCCCCGCTGGCATTTGTGATGGATTATGTGTGACTTAGGCTGAGCTACAGAGGCAACAGCCTTTGGTCAATAGGAAAACTTCATCCTGGCTATGAAGCAGAGGATCCCCAGATCTGGGTTTTAAGATCTTGACCCCCACAACATTAAGATGACTTACTTGTTAGGTTCCTTTACCAGTACACACCCTAAACTATAAGTTGCTTATTTTGCTCAATCCTTTTAGCCCCCAACCTTGCTGAGAGCCTATCAGTGGCAACTAGGGGATGGTAGAGTCGGTAGGACGTCCACACCCACTGACCCGCACCCTAGCCGCCTGCCTCACACGGGACGTTGGTGATCCTTGCTGTGGACTGTGCCAACCTCTGCCCACTCAGACCACTCCCCAAAATAAACAATCTTCGCCCAGTCCTAGTGAGCTAGATTGAAATTTTCAAATCACACGCACTTTCTCAAGGCATTAATTCACTAGCATACAGAGTGGTTGGCAGGGTAAGGAACAACTCATCCACAGTCTTATTCCCCAAAAGAGCTGAAAGGAGAAAAATGACACCCCTGATGTCAATTTGCTTCTTCTTTCTAAATTCTATTTGCTTCGCTTTCTAAATCCCTAACTCCCACACTTGCAAAAACATCTACCCAATTACCTACATGATGAAGAAGCTTGCTTTTCCTTCTTAAAAAGGACCATCATGCACTGAGCTATTACTATATGTTAGGCACCACAGTCATCATTTTACTTACATTTTTCTCCTTAATTAATTAGTTAATAAATCAGTAGTAGAACTGAGACCTGTTAGGCTGTAAAGCCCATGATTTTCAGTGCAGTGTGCACTACCTCCCGTGGGCCTTGGAATAACAGTGCATGAAAGATGTTAGGAAGCTTTGCTGGGTGTGTGATGTGTTGTAGCTGCTCCAGCTCCGGCTTCAGGGAATAGCTGGACCTGCCCTGATGTCCTAGGCTGAGGCACAGGCTGGCATATTTGTCCTCATGGAAAAAGAATAACCGCGGAGGCAAAAAATTCCAACAAGTTTTTCTTAATTAGTTGTTTCAAAATGCATTGTGATTGGCCAAATTTAAGACATTATCAAATGTAAGACTTACCATTTCTTGTGACTGCTAGGGAAAAAAATGACATCAACATGCCAATTTCAGACATGTTGAAAATCTAAACGAAATAAGTGTACTTTAGAATTAAAAATATATCATATATATGCAGGGCAATTTGGTTTTATGGCAAACCCAGAGCAGGTAATCATAACACATTTTTGGAAAAGAAACAAAGTGAATATCAGTTTCTAATATTTTAGAGGATCTTTAAAATGTCTTTTAGAAAACTGCAAACAGGGCAAAGGACTGCAATTTTGTTCATTTTTATCTTTATTAAATTAATTAGATTAAAATTAAATTAAATGATAAAATATATTAAGTATAATTAAAATTTAATTTAATTTAAATTAATTTAAATTAAACTGATTTATTGAAATTAATAAACTATACATGGTATATGAAGTTTCTGCAAGATAAACTATGTGCTCCTGTATAAAGTTTTATTAACAGAATCTACGCATGTAAATTAAAGGATGAGTGAACACTATCTCAATGTTAGAGCTTATTTATTTATTAATATGTCAGATAAACTGTTGTCAAATTTAATCTATACCCACAGGCACTCACTGGATGCTTACTATGTACAACAGAATAATCTGTGTGACTTGAGTATTTCCTTATAAAAGGGTTTCCTTAAAAAATTCAGTCTTTAATTTTTCAATCTAGAGAGGTTTTCGTTCATACTTATAAGTCACAATGCTCTGTGAGTCTTATATGTCTCTTAATATCACTCCCAACTCAAACACTGCTAGTTACTCTGTTTTACATAAATTATATAATCCATATTTGATGTCTTTTTTATGAGAGCAGAGTTTTTAAGTATAACTGCTCATATATTTGATTTTTTCCCCCTTATTGCTCCAGTCACAAAGTACTCGCTTCACATTATCTTTTAGGACATAATATATTATTATGCTTCTCAGTCTATAAAAATTAATAAGATGTAAGTTAAAATGTGAACAGATACAAATACTAAAATCCCATTTAAAGAAGTCACAAATAATGTACCTGAACCATTGCCATGGGCAGAATCATACAGCCTATAACTCTAGTGAGATTAATATTACTGCTGCTGCTTTTACGAAAAATAATTTTCTCCATAACATATAGACCCTTAACATAAAACAAGCATTAAAAAAATGCAAACTATACAATTATGTGTAGTATATCCCCTAAATGCTCAGTTACCTTCCATTCAGCAAGTCAAAAATATTGTCTTTTTTCTGGTAAGGAGAATATGAATCATTCACTTTCAAGAATGCAGTTCCCTAAAGTGTCATCGGCATGTTCTATTGGGTTGAATCAAACTAATTAACTCCTAGTGTCACAAAAAGAAAAAGGAAACCAGAAATCTCCACAATCATTCATAACTGGCTGAATTCAACTTTTTAACCCTGGATGAGAAGACTTTTAAGAGTTACCTCTAATTAAAGAAATACTTATTATGAACAAGCCCAGGCCTCACAAAATTAATTAGGAAAATAAAAGCCAATTCTTCAAGTTAGAAAATTATGAGAAATGTAAGTTATCCCAATAGTTAGAAAATTATGAGAAATGTAAGTTATCCCAATCCTTCTCAAATAATTATCTATGACAGATCCGGATGAAACCTGCTTTAATTACAGCATGCGATTATATAATGCAGCCTTTTTGTATTTTCTGGCTGATTGCAATCATGTAATTTCAAATCAAGAAGATACTTTACAGACTACATTAGGCATTTCCCTCTTTACAAGTGAAACCAAAGCTCGAAAGGTTGAGGTCACAATGAAGAAAAGGCTGATTAGAATCCAAAGTCAGTCTCTTGACAAAATAGACCCAAATGTGTCCCTCCTACAATGCTGCCTCAATGACTGTAGAGTCAAGGAACTAGAGAAAATGGTTCATGAGAGAAGAGGAAATAAAATGGGATCTAGAAAACTAACACAAAGTCTACATCAGGTCTTAGAATCTTTTTCTTTATTACCTTACAGAAAATGGCATCTTTATTTCCCCTAGTTAGAAATACACATTAAAGAAAAGTAGCCGGGGATCTCACATCTAGTTTCTGAGAATATGAAAAGCTTCCCACCAAGCTGTAAAAAGACTAGAAAATTCAACAGGTGTGTACAAACACATGCACTTACATCCACATGAAGCCAGAGGCCGTGCCTCCCACAGATGTCAGCTATTTCATCCAGAGGATCGAAGGCTCCCAGCACAGTCGTACCAGAAGTGGCACAGACCAGAAAGGGCACTCCTCCCTGTGAGAAGGACCCACACAAGAACTGTCAGCACCACCACTAAATCTGTCCTTGTAGTAGAGTGGTCAACACGACGGTCACGCATCCAGAAATTTATCTGGGGTTGGAGATGATCATTAATTCAATGAGCGTTTTTAAACTTTTCCAGTATATGGCTTCTTGTCACTTTAAACAGGTAAAATAAACTGAGAAAATGCTATGACATTAGCAGTCCTTTGTCCTGACTCAGTACACATCCAATTTTTCTTCTCACTCTCTTCCTGTAGTATTTTCTGTACTACAGATTTCCCAGATAGAAAGTGAATAACCTCAAGCTGACATTCTGTGTGACCCCTGCCTCTTCCTGGGGAGATTCATCGGAGCCTCTGCACCAGCATTGCTATGCTTCTCCAACATAAAACGGAACAGGACTGGAAGACACACAGCTCCAGGCTGATCTGCTTATAAAGTAAGTGCAGTTACAAAACAACGAATGTTCTCGGGTACACGTGTGGTATCAGAGGGGATGAGGGTAACCCACCTCCCTGCAATATGCTCTCCAAAACTTGGTGCTGTAGAGAAATCTTTAGGCTGTGTTAGAAAAGAGAAGCTGCATCACACTACCATTTATTCTCCCTCTTACAGCTGACAACTGTAGAGTGAATAGGTGTCAGAGGAAAATGGGGAGAAAGGGGAATGGAGAACACATGCAGAGATGAATGGCAATACCAGCCCTGTTGGGTGGGCAATGTGCCCCCTAAGGAACTTGAAGGAGGGGTTTCCACATAGACCCATCGCAGTGCATCGGCAGAGATGTGTTACACACTGGGCAAGTGCCTTGGGGGCACTTCCATAGACTTTCCAACAGATTCCCAACCGACCTGCAGATAATGTTGGGGGTGTGGGAAGTAGGGAGAACCCGAAGATTCTAGACCACCTGAGGAATAAGGGGCAAGAATGTTTACTGCCTATAAAAGTCATTTTACTTCCATTCAGGATGGAGTCTTTTTTTCTTCAGTGTTACCTTGAAGTACAGTTGCTCTTGCAATATAATTTTATGTCCTGTATAATGTCAGGGTTGTTCCTTTTGAACCAGGCTCATTCCAATTTAGCTGCTCTCTGATGGAAAGAAGTAATTTTCTGTCCCAAAGTGGGGCAGAGTGAGGACCCTTGGTCCACATCTTTACTTTGAGATACATAGGAATTAAGGTGATGGTAGACAGTGAGTCCATTTGCCACTTGGGGAGATGGTTGTGACTCCTGGAATCCAGTCCTCTCAAACCTCATAGAGCAGGGTCAGTAGATGATAGAGCCCCTGGGGAACCATGGGCTTTGGGAATTCTTCCACGTGCTTAACTACCAACAGATTATGTCTTTCTCATGTCAGGGACCTAAATAAGGTGAGACCAGGTTTACATGAATCATTAAAAGCAATAGAAAAAGTAATTCACTAAAACCATTTCAGGTGTCTTTAATGTTTGAGCTTTTCCTCACAAACAATATGATATCCTGACAGGTGTGAGAAAATACCTCTGCAAGCTATTATAGCCTATTAATGAGTTTTCCTCACCTTTTTTTTCTCTTAACCATCTAGCCACAAATATCAGGCCCAGAAATGAAACCTTTGCAATCTGGATATAACTTTGCAGATTTTTTTTTTCTAGTCTCGTATCTCATGCTATTCACGAGGAAGTTCACTGGGAATAGTACTATGCTTCCTATAAGCTGTATTCCCTAAGAAAGTTGACAATGTCACTCATACTCAGAAATACTCCCAAATATTCAGTGATTGCACCAGTTTGATCTTTTCAGAAGCCCTTCTGTGGTTTTCACCATCTTTGTAACCCTATCAAGTAAAGGACACCATTCAACAGATTTTTAATGGATTGTTGTTGGGCAGGGAATGGAATCCCAGCCGAAAAGAAGTCAATACATTATTCCCTACATCTGTAACAATACGTTAAAAGCTTGGAACAGCACAGCTAGGTCTGAACCACTGAGAAGAATAAACTCATCATCAGTCATTATTATCTCACAATGGATGCAAGGTTTGTCCTTGATGAATCCAGGCTCAAGTTGTCACTGACTTGAAAGAAAACAGAGCAAACATACCAACGCCAGCCCCACTGCTCTACTTTTAAATGTGCCTGAAGCAATGCTTACTCTTTGAAAATTTCTCTTTTCAGATTCTCCACTTGAGGATATGTTAGCTCCAGTACTTTCATTGTCCAAACAGACAAAATCATGAACAAAAATAATAATGAGTGTAGTGAAATAAAACCCATCAACTACACTAGAAGATGAGCTCTTGATAATACTAAAGAAAAAAATAGAGAAAAAAAGTTGTGGCTACCTTTAGGGGAGGCTAGACTACTAGCTCACTGTTCTGAAAATTAGTAAATAAGGGAAGAGAAATCAAATATTTATCCCGCTTTGCTTGTGCCAACTGTTTCCTTAAGAAATTAAATAAGAATGAAGGGATGTTGTTCTTCATAGTAGTATGCCTGCCAATAAATAGAAGGAATGAGAGAATGAACTAGGACATCACCTAATGAAGTATTGGGCAGACAGAGATCATCAATGGCTGCAAAAATTCATGGGGTGAGAGGAGGATGCCAGGCTCTATAATAGATGGGCTGGCAATTCCCAAACCCGTCAATCAATGTCATCACAAAAGGACAGTATGTCACCCACAAAACCTTCTCCGTAAAAATTCCAATCTGAATCTCACTGAGTCTCAAGATCTAACTGCCAAAGTACAGGAAATACAGAGAATGAATGCAGTGGTACAGGCACTTCATTCTCAAATTGTTGTGATCTACAAAATCTGTAATGTGGAAAACTCTATAGGATAAAGGACTAAGTTTCCTCAACAGATCAACTGCAGGGGAGAAAAATGAGGAGGCAGAAGATAGAGATTAGAATCAACCCAAAGTAGCATAGGGAGCTTTATGAATCTTTATTCAAACCAAGCAACTATTTAAAAAATGGGAAAATTTTAACATGGAATGAATATTTAATAATACTGTGAAATCATTTCTTATAATGGTATTATGGTTTTTTAACAAGAGAGAGTACACATCTCTTAAAGATACAGAACTATTTATAGACCAAATGATATGATGTATGAGATTTAATTCAAACTAGTGGGAAAGCAAATCTAGTGGTGGTGGGCATAGGTGAAATAAGCTCAATTGTGGAAATTGCACAATGGATATATGGAGCTCATTATATTAGTTTTGTATGTATTTGAAATTTTCTATGAAGTTGAAGGTTAAAGAAAGAGAGAAAAGAGAGAGGTGGGTGGGGAGGGAAGGAGGAAAGAAAAAAAGGAAGGAATCAGATAAAGCATATAAAAAGTACAATCAATATTCCCCACCAAAGCATTAATGACATAAAGAAAGTTCCTTTTGATAAGAGTTTCTATAGAAAAAGATAAAACTAAATTTTAAAAAGAGATAAAATCAGAACTCAGTATCTGTGCTTCACATTACAAACAGGACATACAGTAGAATTTTACCTGAGTCAAAGAAATCTGATAATTTGAACTATCAGACAAGTATCGAATCTACTTGTCATTGGAATTTCTTTTAAAATAAGATAAAGGTAGATCTAAGGATGTGCACCTGAAGCCAGTATATCTGCAGTAAAGGCAGAATTTTTAAGTATGGAATTTCAAACTGAATACAACTCTAAGATGCTCCATAGGGGGTGATTTTTTTATGAAAAAAAAATACATAAAGTGTAAAGTAACAGAAATATAATATTAAACATAGATATAAAACCAAAAGAACCCATCTCCCTCAGCATGTGGACTCCTGTGAGGAGAGATACTTCCATCACAACTCAGAAGCTGGGCATGTCATCCTTCAGCAGTCACATCTGACTTTGTCACTACCTATTGGAAGCTGCATTAGCAGAGGGGACTGTGGTGGGAGGGGAGGGAAGCCTCAAGCCAAAGTCACCTACTCCAGGAGGCTTTTGGTCCAAGAAGCAAGATGGGTGGCATGAAGACAATGACACGTCTACTAAGCAGGTGTCAGGCTCGGCCTTAGCTGGAGTATAGCAGGTGACCAGGGCCACGCCTGGCCTTCCCCGGCAGAGGACATGTCAGTTTTAACACCTTCTGGAAGCTGAGGAAGAGAGGACATCCTGCCAGAGCTGAAATTCAGACCCTGATCCAATAGAGATGGGCTCTGGGTGGAAGCAACCTGGGGGGTAGGCTGGTCAAGAAACCAGGCATCAGTCTGAATGCCACCCAGAGGAAATGGTTTGGCCAGCAGAATTCTGAATCAGTAATTATGTAGGGCTGTGGATATGGGGCCCTGGTTGGGGAGGCTGCGATCATCTTTTAAGGCTAAATCTCAGCAAGAATCCTGACTAGAGTGACGTCAGTGTTTTAATAAGCTCCGACCACCTGGGAATGAGAACATCCACAGAACTCCACAGAACATGGAGAGCCAAGCACCTGGAAGTAGAACATCTGTAAATGAGTTTCCCCACTTCAATTCTAGCACACTCTCTCCCACACACAGAAATGGGCCTGGCTGCGCCCCCTCCCTAGCTCTCCCGTCCTCCCACCCAGACACATGTCCATGTTTGCTTTCCCTCTTTTTTGCCCCTCACCTCTTTTCTGGTTTGCCAGATTTGCTTCTCCAGTTCCTCAGGTATCATTTTACCTCTAAGAGACACAGATTTGAGACATTCAGTTGTGTTTCATAGCAAACAAACCATTGGTACTGCTTTTAAAAAGTATGAAATTCCCCCTCCACCCACCAAACTTCCGGATCCTGTCCCCATTACCTTCCATCTGTTTCCACAAAGCAAACATTCTCAGTACCAATCCCAAGAAAGGAGGCTGCCTTCTTCATGGAGTAATGACACTAAATTAAAAGGCACAAGGGGGAAGAGAGAGACATGAGTGCATAGCAGGAAAAATGTATTATTTATTATCTATATGGGTCATATGGCTGAGCCCAAGGTTTGGCACATTATTGAATAAAAGGGAAAGAAAGCAGTAATTTAATTGATAACATTAGTATAGTGTTGAGAGCACTGACTTTGGCTGGGGTCAGAGAAACCACTATTTAACTCCATGTTTTCCCAGTTATAGCTATGGAAACTTGAACAAATAACATACACTCTCCAAGCCTCAATTTGTAATCTACAAATGGGGCATGTTGATTCCTGCTTCACCTCCACATCATGGAATTGAATGGGTTAAAATACATAAAGGGCTTAGCATAGAGCCTGGCATAACAAACAAACTTGGTCACTGGAGGTTATTGTTTTCAATAGCATCGAGAAAAGTTTCTCTCAGTGCTATTTGTCTGACTCAGTATTAATAGCAATAGAATCTAGTCCGCTGATGACTCAAAACCCTCCAGGGAGTAAGCAAGACTGTCTCAAAAATTGTAATCACAGATCACAGAAAAACTTAATTATTTTCAAGAGTAAACAATGGGTTATAAATGCTGATGAGACACTTGACCAATCTTGTTTAACATGAATGTAAGACTGAAATTAGACATACAGGGAATGTGGCTAAAATCATAATAACAAAAGAAATAATTTATAGATACCCTATTTGATGCAGCCCTGGCATGAATGGGGCTAACAGCTCTGGAATTAGGCTTGGTCTACTTCTGTTTGGGAATAGTAGTATATGCTTTAGGTTATTAGGCCTTTTCCTCCCTACTACATAAAGCCTATAACATAATTAGCATTCAAACACTGGCAATGTCACTCTTTATACATTAGTGTGGACAGGTGGTCAATTAATTCTTTTCATGCCAGAAAAATGAAGGTGCTAAAGGACATTATTGTACCAAAAAACCTTAGTAATTTAATTTGTAGATATGAATACATTAAAAGAGTAGTCATGCCTTCACACTTAACTTGATATATTCTCTCAAAATATGGTAATTTTTTTTCTTCTTTTGTCAAGAGACTTTTATTGGGAACTCTTTTTTTTTTTAACTGTAAAAATAAATGCAGAAGTAACACCATCAGGAAAAATGAAACCATCCTAAATAATTAACTTCCAAATAAAAAATAGGACACATCCAAAATGCCTGCAGGAGGCATTCATTTCAGGTTGTTTCAAGAACATATGCATTTTGAGGAGTAATAATGTAAAAGAAAATGAAATTAATTCTCTATTTGCCACATCAGCCCACCATCGCTAAAGCTACGTAGCTAAGGTGAATTCTTTCTCACTGGAGATCTGTGCTCTGGCAACCACAGAGCGACTGATTTCACAATGATAAATAGTACTCTACTTCAATGACATCTACCAATAAGGAGAACCACACAGTAAAAAAAAGAAAGAAAAAAAACAGCAAAACATCCCCAACAAATGGATTGGCTAAATAAAAAACTGGTAATAAGAATAAGAACAGCTTCAGGGAGCTCTCTTTGGGTACCTCAGGGTGAAGTATATAGTCCAATGTCAATCTCAAATGGATAGAGACAGATAGAAAAAAAAAGTCTAAACATCTGAAAGCATCAGAGGAGGAAAGAGCCATGGAAGGGCAAAAAAAGAAAGATGGCAATGCTTCAGACACGCTGAGAAGTTTCAAGGAAAGGAAAGACCTAGAAGGCTGGAGTTCAGAAGTAACAGCTGCATTTAGAAACAAACGGTGGCTGCCCCCATCGCTGGCCAAAGATAAGTCAGTCCTTCTAAGACCCAGTCTCTCTAGGTTTCACTCATCTACAGAAGACACAAGAATCCCAGTGGAATTTCATTTCTATAAAGATGAAACAGCAAGTGCCTACATAAAACAATTGCATGAAAGTTTTCCTTTCTGGTTCCAGCAAGTAATTTTTTTTCTATGACCTTGGGTTTCCCAGTGAACTGCTTCTTTTCCCTCCTGTAGATGGTGTTCTGGACACTTGGACTCTAGTGCTGACTAGTTTGACGTTCCAAATGGCTCCGGTGGTGGGGAGAGTGGGGCTTGTGAATGTCATGTGTTAGGGAACAAAGAGAAGGAACTACAGGGACTTCCCCGACAGCACCAGCTGGTTCGCTTCCTGAGGCGGAGCCCAAATCCAGGCGGACTACCCTGCTTGGCATGACCTCCCAAGCTGCCCCAGCTTGCCCACGGAGAATGCCTGCAATCACACCCAAACCCAGGTCAGTCTGGCTTCAATGGCAGGGCCACAAGGAGGACAAGTAAATGAGGCATCACAGGTGCAACATGTGGGGAGGTCGACTGTAAGCTGTGTTCTCCTTGCACCCAATCCCTCATCCACTGGAGAGGAACAGGCCAATTGCTGCTGCCCTGCAAGCTAAGAATTTTTGTCTCTCCTCACATTTTAGTGGCACACAGTGATCAACGCTTTACACTGATTCTCAGAACCATCTGAATTACAAATCTAGGATTTCTGTAAATTCAAGGAATTCACACCTAAGCACTAACCAAACTACAGAGTTATCACTTTTATTGCTTTTCTCCAAAAGTCCCCTTCTCCAGGCTCCTGTTTAGCCTGAAGAGGCTACCTTGGTTATATTGAGAGTGTAGGGGTCTCAGTCATGATCTTCCAGGTCTCCATCAAGAGTTGAATTAAAATCGAGACCCAAAGTATGCAAAACACCTTCAGCAGTGGGTGGCTATATTCTGCATTTGATGGTGTGATGCAGAGATGGAGTAATTACCCTGGTTAATCTGGGGTGGCATAAAGACTGGAAAATGAAGACCACCTAATGAACAATATTGGGAAATAACCACGAGGCCTTGGGCCAACACCTACAAGAAACCAAGGGAGGCATAGCAAAAAGATTAACATAGGATTTAATTCTTTAATTCATTCTTTAAAAAAACTAAATAATGATTTGTTGTAATAAGGGGTAAAAATGATCACTAAAATACAAATTAAAATAATGTAAATGATTTGACTTGAGTCTCTCTGGCAGAGCAGGGAAAGGAATGCACGCTATGATGGGGAGTCTGGATGAATGGGCTGAAAATACGTATCAACACTGTAGTGTGTTCAAAGTTGTGTTTTTCTGTGGAGTTTACATTCGTACGGGCTCAAGGTTTGTGTTCCCTCAAAATTCATGTGCTTACTCCCTTGTACTCCCAATGTGCTAATATTAGGTTTAGATTAAGTCATGAGGGCAAGACTCTCACGGGATTAGTACCCTTAGAAGACAGAGAGATCTCACAGCATCAAGCCTGAGCAGAGGAAAGGCCATGTGAACACAGTGGTCCACAAGCCAGGAAGCTGGCTCTCACCAGACACGAATCTATCAGCACCTTGATCTTCGACTTCCTGGTCTCCAGAACTGTGAGAAATAAATGTCTGTTGTTTAAGCCACTCAGTCTTTGATGGTCTGTTATAGCAGTCAGAGCCAACTAAGACACATCTAATTCTTGTCTTTCTGGCTCCATCTTCTGCTGGCAAGTTAGCCAAAGCATATACTTGACCTCTTTTTGCATATATATATCTCTATCAGAGATTTAAAAAAATACTTAGTTCTGATCAACACTGCATGCAAGTTCAATTTCTTTTTACTCCCAATTTGCATTACTGATCTTTCCCAAGCATAATCTTTATTCTAAGCTTCCATAGAATTCCTTCCCCCTTTCCAGGACAATTGTTCCAGAAAAGAACTCTAGTAAGCTTAAGCTTTAAACCAAGTGAAGAATGATAAATGCAAAAGCAAAAACACTGAGCTGATGGCAGGGGTCCTATTTAATCAGCCTTCCCAGGAGTGGAAATAGCAATTCAAGTGCAGGAGGGACTTTGCATTTCTGACACATTAGGGTTCCTCAAACTGAAATAGCAGGATAGGAGAACTCTGCTCCATAATAATCCCAAATAACCAAGTATTTTTGCCAGATGTTGGGCATATTCCTATTCTTCTTTTGATACAGAAAAAGGTCTTATAGGGAAGGAGCTCAGGTGGCTGAGTCAAGAGCCTCAGACTAGACGATTCCTCCCAGTTGCCTCCCAACACTTAGAGCCCACTCTGCCCTTAGGGCTGCGTAACCAGAGCCAAGGTCCGAGAGGGCAAGAGAAAAACATGGGGGTGGCCAGGTTTCCTTTCACTGCCAGCATCTTTGTGTACAGCTTATCCTTTTGCAAAACTAAAATAACTTTTGCTTTTGAAAGAAAATAAAAGATACAGGAAAGCCCAGCTAGAAATAACAAAGAATATTCAGATTTTGCCTGATTCATGTGTTTGACAGGAGATCTAGGATTATCACAGAAGGTACAGAAGCTACACTCTTCCTGCCAGGGATGTGAGGAAGAAGCAGTGAGGAAATGGACAGAGGCATGCACTGCAATCACACCAAAAAAAGGAAAGGAAAGACCAGAATCTCTTCCAGATAAGACTGCAGCATGTAAGCTGTGCCATCTAGCCTATACCCATTATTAAAGCTGGACCGTTTTCCTCCTCCTACCTACCATGTGCCAGATGCTACTTCATGTGTGTATTAACTCATTCAGCTTTTGCAATGACCCAGGAATTAGTGACTACTATTTTTACATGGCTACTGGGTTGCTTTAATGGCCCCAAATTATTCCTGCTCCCTGTGACTTGGCAAAGTGTGTTTTCTCACTTTCTGGATCTGGGTTCCTAGAGGTGACTTAGCTTTATCAAGAAAATGAGGTAAACCTGTGCCCATTCTGAACCAATGACTCCAGAGGCCTGGTGTGTTTCCATGGTGCGCCTTCACCATGACAACGCACCTGGCCAGCCTACTGGAGAATGAGAGACCCAGGGACAGAGAGGACTCTCCGGAGTCATCCCAGCCAAACAACCTGGAGGTCAGCCATCGGCCAACCAACTGGCAGACACGGAAGGGAACCCAGCCAAGAGCAGTGGAACGGCCCCAGTTAGCCCAAGACCTGGGAGCAACAATTTAACTCCAGCTCTGTGGCCCTTGGTTTGGGGATAAGGAAAGTAAAATGAGAGAGGGGACTGTGTTAACATCCAGTTGTGCATTTGTGTGAATGCATGTGGTGTGCATTGTTACTGAATATCTCCCTTTCCTCTTGAAAAACTCTTGTGTTAGACATTCAAAGCAATCCATTTTACAAGGAAATGTGAGTCTTCTGACATAGCTGAGATCAAGACAGGTCATCTAAGTTCTAATAAATAAGATACTCAAAGAAGAGAGTCAAAGAAAGAGATAGCACTTTCAAATTAACTGTTCTCTTTTCTCATAGAAAATGTCCTGGACTATAAATTTTAAATAAAAGTGATGTACAAAATTAGGGGATCAGGGGTTATAATATCAAGCCCATCAGAATTTCTTTTGGAATAAAATACGATGTTATATGAAGGCATATTAGTCACACATGGCTAGGATAAAAGCACATTAGGAGACCCCAAACAAATAAGCCCTCTTAGATAATGCATTCTCAGAAAATCTATATCTGATATCAAAAATAATTTTTTACCTCTGCAGACGTGAAAAGGATTAATCTTGGCAACCCAGACAGCCCCTTTTCCTTAATATCAGGACAATATTTGTATCTAGCTAAATTCATTGCATACATATTGGACACTGAGCCACCTGCAAAAACAAAATTGAAATGGCATGTTTACAGGATGAAGTTACAGCTCCCTTAGTGCCGACTATAGTGGAAAACATGAACGGCTTGTGGCTGCGCTCGTCTAATGGCAAATCGCCGAGGAAGTCATTGGAACACCAGGCCCCCACCCCATTACTCCTACACACTGCATAATCTCCAATACCAGCAATTTCCAATTTCAGCCAGAGGTAGAAGTTTTGGGGTATTCTCTCATTCCAGAGGTTTTCCAAACTGAAAGTTTCATTCTAAGGACACAGGACTAATACCCAAGCCCCCATTGTTAAAAGTATTCTTTCTGTCTGTCATTGGATTGATAGAATGACAATCATCTCTGGTCTGAAAAAAAGGACTGTAGGACAAACAAATGCGATTCAGAGAAAACTTTTCAACTAAAATTGATTGAAAATCTTGGAAAAACTTACCATGGCCCTTTCCAACTCTCAGCAGCAGACAAATTTATTTGTGTTGGAGATAAGTCCTACATGGTAGACATCGCATTTGTTTCACATTTATGTCATTTGTTTAGCATTTATGCAAAATATTACCACGCTGGAAAAGGGCACAAGCTAAAATTTCACTAAATAGCATTATTAATATCCAACTTTTTGTAATGTGCAAATCTGCAAGGGGTTGTTCTTCATATAAGACATGACTACTTTTTAGATGCTCGTAATGGAAGGGAGATGGCAATAACTATCTGTACTTACCTGGGTTAAATATTCCATCCCCTTCTTTCCAGCCAATAAATTCAATCATTTTCTTCAGAACCGCTTCTTCCACTAACAGAAACACTGGGGACACCTCATACGTATAACTAGATAGATATAAAAAACACTTCACTTCTATGACTAGAGTCAAACCATCCCTTTGGTGTCCCAAGAAATGCACACAGAGTTTTATTAAACCAAGTGGCTGTTCAACTGTAGGTGGAGTCCTTGGAAATTTATCCATTGGAAATAGAGAAATCCGTAGTCAGGGATAGTGCTAGTCATGGTTAGATAAATGCAAATAGCCGGTGTCCTTGGGGATATGCAAACCACTTCAGCAGTCTTAGTTTAGAGGAAACCTTCAATTCCACTGGGAGAAATTAAGGCAGTGCATCTGGATTCTTTGTATTAGCCATAAGCAGTGACCATTTTATTCTTTGGATGCTGGCTAAAGAAAAATCATTGTTGTGGTAACCAGGTTTTTCAGGTTACTACTATGAGTACCCTAATCGTCAGCTCTAGGCATTCTACCCATTCAAACCAGCCATCCTGAACCAGGGCTTCCTCCACCACACTCCTGTGTTTGTACAAACGGGGAGCTCTCTGTGGGACATCTCTGTGATGAGTTTACTGCAAAGCATTCCCCAGGTAGCCTGTCAATGAGGGGCTTGTTGCTCCAGGTTGGAATGCTGTTTTGTGTTTGGTGGGGGGAAAGCAGGGAGCCACCAGCTGCAGGGAGCCACCTTCTCCATGCTCACAACCTTTCCTCTGGAGGTCCACACCTGATGAGTGGGTCACGGGGAGGGAAGTATAAAGGCCTGACCGTGAGGACCCAACTCCAGACCACTCTGACAAATCACTGTACTTCCAGAGACCTCATGGAATCAGCTGAGATTGTTCTGGAGCGTGCAGGGCCCGTTGCCTCCTAGCTATGCCCACTCCTGCTTCTTCCCCCTCCACCACCCATGCTGATCCCCAGGGTAGCCCTTGTAAACATCCTGCTCATTAAACTCCACTAGTGCAGCTTCCCAGGGAACCCAACCTGGGACAGTTACCATGGCTTGTTTTGTAATGTTTGAGTCTTTCCTTTCTCCAGATAACTTGAGGGCGACTAAATCTGTAATCTCCTTCTCTAACAATGAGGTGATTACATTAAACTGCATCTGAGTAAATGTGGACTCTAAATATGTAAGCTAAGTAGACACATTTGGATTTATAGTCCCATAATTTGATGCAATTATTTTAACATCTGGAAGGGACAACTTTGGGAAGGAGGCAAAAAAAGAAGAAGCAAAATAGGGAATCCCGACTATGTACCACCTCCCTCTGTGCTAAGCACTTTATAGACATTAAATCATTTTATAAACAATTTAGGTTCTATTTTCAACCATGCTAGGAAACCAGTTGACACATATCAAAAAGTGTGAAAAGGAAGAATGTATGTGTATGAGTATCTACAAATATAAGTGAAATAATCATTCACTTTTTTGTAAGAAAAAAGTTAATATTAAGCCTTTGAAAATCAGCTCAACTGCAAACCTGGGAATAGGCCTGGAGGTCAAGGAGAGGGCAATATAGAATGTTCTCATGGCTTGGTCACATTTTGAATGGATTGTTCAGCTTAACGGCAATTTAATACATCAAAATCCTCTAAATATGTCAGCCAGAAGAACCCAGATGAGCAGTTAGAAAACCCAGAATGGACAAGGAAAGGTTCACAGGGTTGTGCAATTTTATTGTCTCTTTTATTGCCTCTTCTACCCATTGTGACCTGGTATCATCTCGCATTACTCCACTAAAAATTCCAGAACTGAAGTCAGCATTGACATCACGTTGCTAATTCAGGGGATGTTTTCAGTCTTTGTCTTAAATACTCAGTGACGGGTGGCTCTGGATACACTCTCCTTCATGGCTTCCGTGCCTCCCTGCTTGATTTTCTCCTTCTCTCTCCCCACGGTAGGCTGATCTTAACCATTAAATATTAGGTGTTCTCAAGGCCCAGTCCCAGGCCCTCTTCCTTCCTCACTCTATACTCTGTCCAGCAGATAGGGTTTCTCCATCTCCTGGTTTGTTTTTATTCAAAATGTCTCCATCCTGCTCATTGAAATCATTTTCGGGTCTTTGAAAATATATCAGTGCCTGGGACACGCCGACAGAAATTCAGATTTAATTGGTCTGGAATGGCACTCAGGCCTCAAGAGATTTTTTTAAAAGTCCCCAGATTGATTGTGATGAGCAGGATAGGATTGGGAATCACTGACTTAAGGAATCCCATCCATGCCCACCATTTCAACTACCATGATTCACCAATAACTTCCAAATGTATGCCTTCCACGCAGATATTAGAATTTCAGCCTATATGTCTCTCAGCTTGGTTGATACGTACTCTTGGGTGACCTGAAATCACTGCAAACTCAAATGCTCACAATGGAAAACTGAAGCCTTACTCTTGCCTTTTTCACCATAGACTTGAAAACTGGCCCTCTCTTCCAATGTCTCTTATTTCAGTGAATGATGCAACTATCAACCCAGCTATGAAAGCCAGAAACCCACACATCATGTCATAAACCTCCCTGGTCCTTATTTCTAAAAACCACTATATTTCCAGTCCTTTCTGTTTTACCTTTTAAACACATTTTTTTTCCTCTCTATTCCTACCAGTTTCATCTAAGTCTAAGCTACTATCATCTCTCACCTTACTAAGGTAACTGATCCCTTCCAATCCACTTTCCATATTTCCACTGATATTTTAAATAAACAAATGGCACCTAATGATTTTAAAACCCTCAATGTCTTTTCATTGTACTTAAAATAACTCATAAACATTGGCCTGCTGGGTCCTGCATGTCCAGCTCCTACCTATCTCTCCAGTCCTGTTAACTCCCCCTAGATTTCATAGCTATGCCCGCATTGAACTTTCAGTTTCTAGTGTATGTCATTCTGTCTCCCACCACAGGGCCTTTGTACTTGCTGCTCCCTCCATTTCAAACTCATCCCTCCACTCTTCACCTAGCTAATGTTTACTTATCCTTCATCTCTTAGCTGTCACTTCCTCAGAGAGGACTGGCCTGAGCTCCCAATTAGGAAAAACTGTCCCATTTATATTTATAGCATTATGTACCTCTCCATGTGAGAGCTGGTATTTTACATTCATTTGTGTGAATCATTTCAAATAATTTTCACAGAGCACCTTTATCTCACTAGATTTTTTGCTTCATGAAGGCAAAGTCAAGGTTTGTTTTTACACAAAGTGTCTCTGCAGCACTTAGCACAAACATGGCTTTTCATGTAGGAGTGAATAAAAAGTTGCTTTATCAATCTTCTTATTTGTGGAGTGGCAATAAACATGCCTATCTTATCCATCTCACGGTACAGCTATCAAATCCAGTAGCTCTTTGAATACTGCTAAGTGTCACAAAATTATTCCATCATTTATGATGACACTGAACAAATGAAACCATCAAACAGAAATTCGTGAAATAAAATTTGTCTACTTAAAAAACATCTCTAATCCACGTTTAGTGTAAAATTCCAGTAAAATAGTACTTACACGCTTGGGTTTAATGCTTCTGTCATAAATCGGGCCACCAAGGAGTAATAATCAAGTCCAGCATACAACTGGTTGAAAAATCTTGGATGGTCTGTGAATTTAAACAAAGTATTCATCTACAGAGCAATAAAAAGGAAAAAACTATATATTGATACAGCAATAACATAAATGACTCTTTCAGACAATGAAAGCAGCCAGATACAAGAGTATGTACTGCCTGATTCCAGTTATATGATATTCAGTATCAGGCACAGCTGATCTATAGAGACAGAGGTTAGAATTCTGGGTACCTTTGGGAATGAGATATTGATTAGGAAGGGACTTGAGAGAGCCTCTGGGGTGCCAGGAATGGTCTATATCTCAATCCTGGTGATGGTTACTTACGCACAGATATGTACATATTCATCGAACTGAGCACTTAAGATTTTTTCCACTTTACTCAATGTAAATTATAACTAAATTTTTTTAAAAAGCATTCAAAATCTAATCATCTATAAGGGAAACAAATGTTGAAGACCTATCTCAAGGCCTTGTCTATGGAACAATAACATGTTTCTAAGCAAAACCTGAGCATTCTTTTAAGAGCTTTGGTGGACCCAATCCTTTCTCTCTACCACTAAAATCCTCAGCAGAACCATTGATAAATGGGTCATTTGAACAACTTTCCCAAGTATCAAAGACTTTTGTCTCCTGAAAAATACCGGTATTAACCTCTCTAACATTAAACGCATTTTACTCACCAACAGGGTTCACGTCAAGCTACCTGGCGGTGAGTGGCCTTTGTCTCTTCAGACTGGACCGTTTGTCATAGTGCAACTGGCATTATGTAGAGGGAGTAAGATGTGACTCATGCCGCCTACATAAACTTTCTGATTCAGCTTCAAGGCAGTAGCCTTTAACACTCAAACAAGCTCGGCTCCCACCTTCTATTTTTTCCCCTCTCTTACAAAAGGTCTCAGAAAGGTTCTTGGCTTTACGTAGTGTGAATATTCACACCAAACACCAGGCTAACTGACTTGACATTCTCAATCACAGTACGCCCAGCATGATAAAGAACAAAGAGGCAGGAGGTCTATTTCTGAATGCGTGCACTCAGGAACCATTTTACTTAGTGACCTCTCACTACAAGTTAGAGCACTCGGGTTCAGGTTTTCCTAAATACAGGAAACAACAGAAGTCTCAAAAGAAAATGTCTTTTCAAATAAAACATAGAGAACGTCCTTTAATCCAGCAAAGGACACCAGACATAGCTATGTGTAATTTTAATATGATTTTTTTAGGTCTGTGTTAATTTATGATTGATTTCCATGGTAACATTATGGAAAATATCCAGTAAACTGAAAAATCCACTGCATTAAATGTCATTCTACCCTTCTGACATGCACTATAATAATAAGATATGTAGCTCTGCTTTTGAAATGCTAACTGGATTTTTGATACATACACCAGACTTTCCCAAGGGAATCTAAACCAATTATTTTTAGCCAGGGTTTTATTATGTTCTTTCCACTAAATTTAGCTCAGTGTCAAAATTCACAAAGCGTAATGCCTGTATAGTCTTGAGCACTAGATTACCTCTATATCACACAGAGAAATGCATATTTTGGAAAGGCATTCTCCTACTTTTGAAACTTGTTCACTGGGCACATAGGATATCAACAATCAATTGGATGAGTATTTGAACACAAGACTAGTACCATGTTACTGCATTTACAAAGAATCAGAGTAGCTAAGCATTATTATACAAGTATGACAACAAGAGCTTACCATGTATTCATTTTTCTTACACCTCCTAAAGGTTTTCATTTTTTGATTCTGGTAGATTTAATGAAATAATTTGGTAATTACTAACTGCCAAGAGTTAATTAGTATCTTCCTCATAAATCTATCCCTATGTATAATAAAGACACCCTCTGGAACATTTTTTTCTTCTGGCATATGCTGGGCCATCAAAGACTTAAGATCCCTTAACAAACTGTATAATCAAAATATCACTTTCTAGAGTAGACCAACATAAGAAACAATGAGTAGCAGTCATAATTTATGGGCTTTATTATTAAGTGGAGGGTGGAGATTGCCAAGGAGCAGATAATATTAATGTATGACCATTAACACCAACAGTTTTTCTATAGATTTATCTCTGGCAACAAATCTGTACTGGGATTAAAAACTTCACTGTGAACATATCAAATATGCACTGGGATTAAAAACTTCACTGTGAAAATATCAGAACCACTATTTTTTGATCCAGGTTTCTCATCCCATACACATTGGCATACTCCACTTTACTAAGAGGTAAATACATGCTTAAGAAAATGTAAGAACTTGTTAGAGGTACAGAGAAAGGAAACAAATTTAAGCTCTTACTAGTTTTGACGCTGTAGTGTATGACATCCTGGCAGAGTCTCAACAGCCTGTGGTGTGGCTCTCCTGTGTCTCTCATCTCCAGATCAAGGAGCTGTTTCAGCTGTTCAGGAGACCGCCATTCACAGACCTGGAGATTCAGCGATGGCACAGTTAGCTGGGCACCCACCAGGGCAGGTGTTGAGAGGATGCTAGAAGCAGGGACCCTCCCTGTATGAAACTTCTGGACAAGTGGGAGAGACAGAGATTCGAACGTACAGCCATGGTTCAGCGTGATAAAAGCTATGATGGTAATGCGGATGTCATGGGAACAACTGAGGAGCCCCATCTTAGATTCAGAAGGTCAAAGATTTCCTGGAGGAACTGATACCTGAGTTGTTGCAAAAAATAGGTGTAGAGAGAGCCAAACAAAGATTAGGGGATGGGGTGAGGCAAGGGGCCTTGTAGGTGAAAGTTACAGAAGTAACAAAGTTGAAAGGTAAGGAGTTCATGGCACATCTGTAGAATGAAATGAGTTTGGTGTGGGTTGAACATGGAATTTGAGGAAAAGAGAGACAAGAAGTAAAGTTGGAATGCTGAAATAATGTCCTAACTAGTTTTAAGTCATTGAAAGGACTTTGGATTTTACTCTGAAAGAAATAAGGATCCACTGGAGGTATTTGAACAGAAGAGTGACCATGGCTTAAAAGGACCATTCTGGATGATGGCTGCTATGTTGATAGACTACGGTACATGAGGAAGGACTAGTTAAGATCCTGCATAACCTGCTTCCCCTGGAGGTGTTCCTAAGTCTCACCCAGACTACTCCCCTCCTGGCTGACCTGTCCTGCCACTCTGGCCTCCCGCTGTTCCCTAAGTGCACCAGGCACGCTCCCATGCTCCCACCTTAGGGCCTTTGCATGGGCTGTGCCCTCTGCCTGGACTGCTCCTCCCCTAACATCCTTACAGTTAACTTCCTCACTTCTTTCAAAACTTTGCTCAAATGTCATTTTCTCAGTGATGGCAATCCTGACCCCTTATTTAAAATCACAGGCTACACATTACCCCATCTCTATCAGTTCCTTTTTCCACTGCACTTATCACCTTTTAACATACTACATAATTCATTTATTATGTTCTACATAATCTCCACGGGAGCAGAGAGGTCTGTTTGTTTGCCCACTAGTCCCAAGTAACTAACACAGAGCCTGCCAAGTACGAGACACTCAGTAAAGATGTGATGAGTCAATGAACATATAAACGAATGAACAGATACACAAGACTCAGATCATGACAGGGTTTTTGTGGCAGGTTACAGAGTCTGAACTTGACTCTAAGAGACTCATTGAAATGTTTGGGACAGGTGAATGATATGATCATATTTGTGTTTTGGACAATAGCTTTAGTTGCTTTGCAGACTCAAATAACATGAGAAATCAGAGGTTGTTCTAACAAACTAAACAAGAGAAGGAGGTAGTGTAGATATAGGTAGAAGCTATAGGAATGAAGTATTTCTGGAGATTTTTAAAATGCAGAATCAATAGAACTTGGAAATCAATTACACAGTAAGGATAAGGGAGAGGGATGGGCCAAGGACGATCCTGAGGTCTCTAGCTTGCACACATGGGTTGATAGTGGGAATGGGAAGAGGAATCTGGTTGTGGGTGAGGTGGAGATGATTAGTGTTGGGCGTATTTAGTCTAAGGCCATTCAGAACATCTACAAGGGGTGGAGCAGTTGGTCTGGAACTCTGTGAAATACCAGGCACAGAGTTCCAGGCAGTCACTCTGATAATGTAACATGGATGACATAGCTCAGTGAGAACCTACACCTAAGAGGAAAAGATGTAAAATATCACCTGGGCAACACCAACATTTAAGAAATGGGCAAAGAGAGAGGAGCTCATTTGTGAGGTGGAGGACAAACCAGAAGGCAGGGGAAAACTTACAAGAATTTGGCACTACTAAAATAAAGAAAAAAGAATGATGTAAGAAAGACAAGATGGTCATCACTATCAAATTCTTCTGAGAAGGAAAGTTAGATAAAGGCTGAGTTCTCAGGATTTATCAACAAGGAGGTGTTCTTGGCAAGAGTAGTTTAACTTAGAGAGGTGGGAGTGGAGGCCAGATTGCAGTGAAGTGAGGGTGTAGGAGGTGAAGAAATCGAGGGAGGGAGGGAGGGAATGTAGACAATCTTTAAAAAGTTTGGCTGTGGAAGGGAGGAGAGAGACAGGGGAGAAGCAGGAAGTTAAGAGACTAAGAGGTGGGAGATTTGGGGAAGCAGGAGGAAACACCAAATTGTGTAAGAAGTATGAAATTAAACTCTGATGTTAGAACCACAAAAGGCAGAGGTCAATCAAAAGTGACTGAGACAATCCAAAGTAATGACAACTGATGCTGTATGATACTGTGGGTTCGGTTCCAGACCAGCACAATAAAGTGGTAACACAATAAAAGTGAGTCAAATGATTTTTTTTTGGTTTCTAAGTGCATATAAAAGCTCTGTTTGCACTACGATGCAGTGTATTAAGTGTGCAATAGCATTATGTCTAAAAAATCAACGTACATAATTTCATTTAGAAATACTTTATTGTTAAAAAATGCTAACCATCTTCTGAGCTTTCAGCATGTTGTAGACTTTTTCCTGGGTGCTGATGGCTGCTGACTGGTCGGGGTGGTGGTTGCTGAAGGTTGGGGTGGCTGTGGCAATTTCTTGAAATAACACAACAGTGAATTTGCTGCATGGATTGATTCTTCTTTCATGAACAATTATTCTGTAACCATGAAATGCTGTTTGATAGCTATTACCCACAGTAGAACTTCTTTCAAAATTGTAGTCAGTTCTCTCAAACCCTGCCACTGCTTTATCAACTAAGCTTACGTAATACTCCAAATCCTTTGTTGTCATTTCAACCATCTTCACAGTATCTTCACCAGGAATAGATTCCATCTCAAGAAACCACTTTTCTTGTTCATCCATAAGAAGCAACGTCTCATCTATTCAAGTTCTATCATGAGGAGATAGCAGTTCAGTCACAGCATCAGGTCCTACTTCTAATTCTAGTTCTCTTGCTGTTTCCGCCACATCTGCAGTTCCTTCCTCCACCAAAGTCTTGAATCCCTCAAAATTATTCCTGAGAGTTGGAATCAACTTCTTCCAAGCTCCTGTTCATGTTGATATTTTTACCTCTTCCCATGAATCATAAATGTTCTTAATGGCATCTAGAATGGTTAATCCTTTCCAGAAGGTTTACAGTTTACTGTGCTCAGATCTAGCAGAGGAATCACTGCATTCGGTAGCCATAGCCATACAAAATATACTTCTTAAATAATAAGACTTGAAAGTTAAAATTACTCCCTGATTCATGGGCTGCAGTTTGGATGTTGGGTTAGCAAGCAGGAAAACAACATTCATCCCGCTGGTTATCATCAGAGCTCTTGGGTGACCAGGTGCACTGCCAATGAATGGTTAATAGCAGGAAAGCAATTTTTTTCTGAAAAGTAGGTCTCAACAGTGGGCTTAAAATACCCAGTAAACCATGTTGTAAACAGATGTGCTGTTGTCCAGCCTTTCTTGTTCCATTTACAGTGTGGAACACAGGCAGAGTAGATTTAGCATCATTCTGAAGGGCCATGGGGCTTCAACTGTAAGTCATCAGCTGTATCAGTCCCTAGCAAGAATCAGCCTGCCCTTTGATGCTTTGAAGCCAGACCCTGACTTCTCTTCTCTAGCTATGAAAGTCCTAGATTTAAAAGGCCATTTCATCTACACTGAAAATCTGTTCTTTAGTGTAGCCACCTTCATTAATGATCTCAGCTAGGTCTCCTGGATAACTTGCACATTCCCCATGAGCACTTGCTGCTTCTCCTTCACTTTTATGCTATGGAGGCAGCTTGTTTCTTTAAACCTCATGTACCAACCTCTGCTAGCTTCACATTTTTTTCTGCAGCTTCCTCCCTGCTCTCAAGCCTTCATAGAACTGAAGAGAGTTAGGATATCATTTCTGCCTAAGGGAATGTTGTGACTGGTTTGGTCTTCTCCCAAAACAATTAAAACTTTCTCTATTTCAGCAATAAGGCTATTTCACTTTCTTATCACTCATGTGTTCATTGCAGTAGCACTTTTAATTTCCTTCATGAACTTCTCCTGTGCATTCATAACTTGGCCAACTGGTGCAAGAGGCTTGGCTTTCGGGCCTGGATCAGCTTTCAACATGCCTTCCTCACTAAGCTTAGTCATTTCTAGCTTTTGATTTAAAGGGAGAGACGTGAAACTCTTCCTCTCATTTGAACACTTGGAGGCCATTGTAGGGTTATTAATTGGCGTAATTTCAATATTGTTGCCTCTCAGGGAATAGGAAGGCCTGAGGAGAGGGAGACAGCCGAGGGAACTGTGGGTGGGTGGAGCAGTCAGAACACATATACATTTATTGAAGAGTTCTGTTTTATGTGGACACCATTTGTGGTGCCCCAAAATAATTACAATGGTCACATCAAAGATCACTGATCACACATAACACACAATAAAAACGTGTGAAATATTGTGAGACTTACCAAAATGTGACACACAGACATGAAGTCAGCAAATGCTGTCAGAAAAATGGCACCAATACACTTGCTCAAACAGGGTTGCCACAAACCTTCAATTTATAAAAAAAAATATCTACAAAGTGCAATAAAATAAGGTGTGCATGTATACTCAACAGTGTGGATGAATCTCAAATGCATTTTGCTGAAGGAAAATAATAAGACTCAAAAGGCTACTTGTGATATGATTACATCTGTTTAACATTCTGGAAAAGGCAGAAACTGTAAGGATAGAAAACCAATCACTGGCTGTCAGGTGCTAGAGGGGAGGGGGAGGAGTTGACTACAGAGGGGCACAGGAAATGTGGGGGGTGATGGCTTGATCAGTTCTATAGCTTGATCGGTAATGATTACGTGACTTGTCAAAACTCATAGTAATATACACCAAAAAAGGAGTACATTTTACTCCTTTTTTTGAATGTGAATTTTATCTCCATTTTTTTTAAGGGGGCTGAGAAAGAATGTCTGCCAGAGAGGGTGTCAGGAGTAATCATCTCACTAAGTGTGGGCATGTATCCGCAGGTCACCTTTAGATAGTGGCACCCTGTTGGGTCTCTGACAAAGTAGGCTAAGTCAGTGGCATAAAAATGTCACCTCTCCCACTCCAGCATAGCTTTCAGTCCAATTTTGCATGGATAGCCTGCACATCTACTATATTGCAATCAACCTGTGGTTCCTTAATTTATAACTCAGCCTTTCTTCATCTTATCTCCCATTAGTCCCTATCAGAGCTCTTCTTTCTCTGCAGAAAGTTCCCTTTTGCAATACTCTTTCCATTATTTATCTTCCTGTTTCTTTACATGTGTGGGCCAGCTTCTCTCTGCCTACCAAAATCTTACTTAACCTTCATGTCCCACATCAAAGCTCACAGTGCCCACCCCTTCATAAAATCCCAAAGCCTGCCCAAACACATGCATTTATCACATGCGTATTGGGATCCCTTGTTCTCTTTTCCAATGAAAACTATCCTTCCAATTAGATTATAAATTCTGTTCAAAGCTGAGCCTTTATCTTATTTTTCATTATATCCCCCAGGGCTGAATATAATGGCTCACCCGTAGCTAACACTCAGTTAATATTTAATGACTGAATAAAGGCCAATTTAAAAAAAAGTCTTACCAGAAGAGCAATGTGCTCCAAAGTAAAGCAGGTCCAAAACATTTCACAAACACAGATAAGACCAGAAAATATGCAATTACAACTATATAATCAGGAAATACCATAAGCGATTTTGATTTGAATGTAACTATTTCAAGTTCACGGGTCATTTCAATCTGTTTTCCCATGAGTTCATGTTAGCAGTAGTGGTTCCAATGTGGGTGTGAATCTGAATTTGAGCCTGAATTTGAAACACAGAATCAGTCATTGGTACCAATCAGGAGTGAGACTTAAGAACTCAAGATTTCCAGGCTAAGCTTAGACAAGCCCCCGTTAAGGACCTTCAGATAATTTTTTAAACTTTATAGACCCTTTTCTACTTCCTGCATATGTTTTTACTAAAAACATAAAGTCCTCTAGAAAATGGAGAGCAGACTGAATTTTAGAGAGTGTGTAAATCAGATCATCAGCTTATTTATCATCTGTATTATTATCTAGGGCAGATAATCTATGTTATATTAATATATAATCTATATGACTATTCCTGGGCTTTGCAGCCTTTTCTAGCTAAGTTCTGAGGTCTCAGCCAATCTCCCAACAAATGAGTGCTGGCAAGTTAGGGAGTCAACCCTTCCAGGAAAGCAGATCTGGGGAGGAGCTGGGGGATGAGAGGGTACAAACTTTGGTATTTTTACCTTCTCATTGACATCTGTAGCCTTCAAAACCACCTCTTCCATTATTAGCCTACAGGCCTCTTCAACAAATTTTTCTCCTGCTCTTGCGTCTGTTGTGGGGCCATTCAGCACAACCCCATCCACAAGAACAGTGTTCTTCTTACTTGGAACCATCTCTTGTTGATCAATAGCTCCTGGAAGGGCACAAACAAATTGTGTTTGAGAGATCATCTAATTCGATCACACACCAAAACACAGGGGGAAATGGCTCACTATCCCAGCTTTGAAGGGCACACCTCCTTTTAATACATTGGGGCATTGAAGTGGGCAGGAAAGAAAATTCTACCATTCATTCCTGCAGCATATTGTTTAGCATCAGGGAGTGTGGAGGAGCTCAAGAAATGCAAACTCAGTCCGTTTTACTCACTCTTGCAAACATCTTTCCAACACGTGTGCAGAAAGATCTTTACAAGCACAAGCCATGTCAACATGCACACATGCTCTTGTAATTTAAGAACGGCCATACATTACTTTTAATGTTACTCCAGGAGAAGGAAAAATGATATTGACATGTCACATCTCTTAATTTTGTTGTAAGCCTGTGTTTAAATGATCTTCTATTTTAGAGACACTGCTTTGTCCCTTAGAGCCCCTTCTTAAATCAACTCAGCCATTTCCTACTGAAAGGAGAGTGAAAGACAGTGAACCTCACGGTGGTTTGTGTAAACCTTTATTTAATGCCTGTAAACCTTTCAAACTTGCAGTTCAGGCACTGGCAGAAGGATGGAGCACCACATTTTCAGGACCATCATGGACTAAAAGTTAAAAGTCAACATGGAAATCTGTATCTTAGAATAAAGGTTACTGCCCACCCAGAAGAGCCCTCCACAAAAATAATTCTGGCAACTTAATCCAGATAGTCCATCAATATCTGCCACAAACTTTGAATCAATTTTGTTTTTTTTCTAATCAGTATCTCTCTCCTCCTTATAAGGTGTATGTTCATTGAGTTGTAGACATTTACAGAAACAATTTTTTAAAGTATTTTTCAGCACTGTGCCTAGCATAGTGCCTTACTTATGCTTCATGAGTCTGTCTTAAATATGCTGATGGCCTATATGAATTTCAAGTATTTTTATGCTTACCAAAGTCTTTGAACATTCTTTATGCCTTGGAGTCCACCCTCTCTTCAAAGTTAAATGTTTGGAAAAATTCTGTGGCTTTGCAGACCCTTTGGATCTATGATTGGCAAACTCAAATGGTGCTCATGGAGACAGATAAAATGTCACAGGAATATTCCCCCATTTGGGAAAGATGGAATCTGCAGCAAAGGACTAATCTTTTATACTCACACTAGGGCAAACAATCCAGAGCTCCAGTGATGAATTTAGTTCCATCCATCACTTTCACTTATCTTTCACTTGAAAGGATGCACTTAACATGGTTTAGGGCCAAATGCTGAAGCCCTGGATTTGTGCTTTTAGATGGAAATGCTCTACACCTAAAGGCAGTTTCCTCCCCCCAATTTTTAGGTCCTAAAAATACAATGGAAAAGAGGGCAATTATTCAGGAAACCCTAGTTATGTCAGTAGACATTGTTATTATTAAGCACACAGAAAAAGTTAGGTTTTTATAACCTCATTAGTAGGATGTCAGGTTTTTATTGCCTAGGGAATAGCAGCCACTATGCAGCTGTCTCAGAGTCTCTCTCTCCCTCTCTCATTCTCTCTCTCTCACATACACACAAACACACTCACACACACACACTAAAAAATGTCAAACACCCACTTACAACAAGAATAGCAGTGAAACTGAAATTAAAATCATTTCTGTCTCCACAGCAATCAATTAAAAAATACTCATAATTCATACAATTATCTAGGAGAAAATACTATTAAAAAACCATAAAGAATTGGAGATAGATTATGCCTCTTTTCTTGATAGATACGTTTTATTTCTATTACCAGTCATTTTCCCAGAATTTTCCCTGATTAGAAAAGACCCTCTGGAGATTGTACAGTAGGTCACGGTATAATCCCTGGGGCTGCATTCCCAGGACTTCCGATTTAACTGCTAGAGTTTACAGTGGTTAATAATGAACCTATCAATGGGAGGACCCTTCTATGAAGAATGTAACTAGAGTGAGACTGTTTTTCATCAGCCTCTCCCATCTCCTTGGTCTAAACCACAAACAAATGCTTGTATTACCATTCACCTCCGCCACGTTCCACCCTTGCCCTGCACGCCACGTGAACTGTGCTCAATATGGTAGCTCCTGTGTTCCTTTGAAAAGATAAGCCAGACTACACAATGACTCAAATTATCCAGCAGCTCCTTATCTCATCAAACTAAAAGCCAAAGCCTTTATAATGACCTTTAGACCCAAAATGAACCCCTTTCCCCATAACGTCTGGGGCCTCAAACCTCATTTCTTATTATTGTCCTCCAAGCTCACCAAGTTCCATCTCCTCTGGCCTCTCCACCATTGCTCCACACTTTCCTTACACATGAGCTCTTCAGCGAGGCCTTCCCAGACGACCCTCCTTAAAGCAGAAACTGTTTCTCTGCCCCACCTTCTCTGCTCTATTTGACCCTAGAGAGGTGGCCACCATGTGACATACATTATGTATCATTCACTTATTTGTTTAAATATCTGTCTCTCCAATAGAGGTTTAGAGCTAGAGGGCACAAGCTTGTGTCTGTTGGTTTCAAGAAGAGATAGCTGGGACTGAAAGAGGAACCTGGTGAGCAGGATCAGCTGCAAACTGAGGCTGCGGCCTCCACACCATCCAAGGGAACCGTGGAGCAGAAGCCCGCACTCCCCTCCCCACTCTTTTTACTGCAGACACACTCTTCTCCCTCTTTCTCTCTACTTTCCTTCTTAGCAATCTTTTGACTTCCAAATGTCAATCCGTCAACAGGTCTCACTCCAGGAACCACATTTCCAAATGTAAGACTCAGTCACACTTTTGGCTTCTGAATTTCCACCATGTCCTCAACCCTGTCCTTCCAAAAGCTGCATAAGCTCAACTTAAGCTTTGCTCAAAGAGGTGTTCAGCTCTCCCTTGCTTCACAAACAACAAATTCACCTTCACATATTGTTTCAGATACTGAGAGGCAGCCTCTTCCTTTGACACAGAATCAAATGAATTAATACAGATAAAGACTTAAAATACTGCCTGGTACAGAGTAGGCACTCAAGAAATGCTTCTAACATAAGCTAACACAGTAAATGCTAGTGAATAGTAATAGGCAATCAGAAATAGTTACTAAATACATAAGTGCATGACAGCCTAAGTGCACTGTGTATGTGACAGTAAGCGACAACAGTAGCAGGACAGAGGTCCTCAGAGTGGTCAAATGATCAGGGCGATGGACTCCCGGCCACATGGCTGGTGAGTTAGTCCCTGTAAAAGGGTGGGAAGAGGAGGCCACAGAGGCATGTGGTCTGGGTTTCTTATATGGCAAATAGGGAAAATAGCCATGCCTATTGTACTGACTCTTTGGAAGGGTTGAATGTGGCAGTGCATGCAAGCTTCCAAGCAGAGTGCCAGGAACAGAGCGAAGAGCACAATAAGTGGTAATTATTAACATGACTGAGTCTATATGAACTCCCTTTTGGCACCCACATTACACTGCTGGCTCAGGTAAAGGTTAGAATTAATAGCCTTAGGTCTTTGTCAGAAACTCTGCCAGTAAGAGCCACATTTCCCATCCAAGATTCTTCAACTGTTAAGAGCAAATCAGCAATAGGAAGATAATGCTTGCCTCCAAATAGTAGGAAGGAAGAACAATGGATCAGAAGCTGATCCAGGCAGCTGATGGGGAGGCCAAGGAACTCCTGAGCATATATTTGTGCAAAAGACATTGGGGACCAAAGGAGGTCTGAGAGCCAGGACCTGAAACACCCAGTAGGCCAGTCCAAGGTAGGCATGAGAAGCAAAACCTGGGGAAAGAGGGTCATATTAATTAATAAATTAATAAGGCCTACTATGTGTCAAGTACCCAGGCTGGTGCCTGGAGAAATAGAAGTTAACACAGTTTCTGTTCTTAAGTTGCTGAAAGCCTAGAAAGAGAATATTTAGGGAGCTAGGGTGAAGGAAAATAGAGCTAAAAAAGAAAAGTTGAAGAGATGTCCCTCTGTTCTGGAGTCTGCTAGGTCAGGTGCCTCTTCTAAGATCGAAAGAGTGAATTCCTAATTCAGCTGATGGACCTGGTACTTCCAGGCTCATAAACTGTGTACATCCCTTTAGAATTTCATACCCATTCTTAAGCCATTTTCGTTGTCTTAGAACCAACATGCCAATGACAGGGTAACTACAGACAACCAACAAGAGAGAAGACTACAGGAAATGAACAAATATTATGAATTAACAATAATACAAGGTAGTGGCCTCAAATGCTCTGAAGATTTTGGTAGTAAAAATAAATGCAGGGATTTCATTTAGGAATCCTTGCTGTTTGATGCAGTAGACTCATACAGCCTACTTGGAGACTGAACAATTTCCACAGTACAACCCACAAATATGAAGTCATAGGAGTAAATGGCAGAACTTGCAACCTGTTAAGTATGATTGCAAATTTAGTCAGCTAGAGATGGGTGCCCAAAGACAAAAGGCAAAATAGAAAATTCTAATTGCTTATTTAGTCTCATTTTAGGGTTAAACTCCCCTTAGTTGAAATCTATGAGTTGTAACTTCTTTCATCTATACTTCCTGAAATGTTGTTGAATACTTATTATGCATAAGACATTAGGGCAGGCACTGTGGGAGACTCAAAGATGAATCAGACGTGCAGGTGATGATCTCAAAACCCAACAAGGAAAATCAGACATGTTTACGAATGCTTGCAATCTTATCCAGAAGTTTTGTGATACTTGAGGTCAGGCAAAAAATACACTGAAATTCCAGAGAAGGGCTTCTGAATACAAGGAGCAGAAAGTCCTCCTGGCTTAAATGGTTTTTAGGATGGCCCTTCATTGAGTCATTTAGCAAATATTTTTTAATGCTTCTTACATTCGGAACACTATGTCAGGTGTTTGAGGCTGAGCAATGAAAAAGAGGACACAAATTTACACTTACTTAGGGTGGATGGGAGGTATAGTCAATGAAAAAGCATGGAAAGAGAATAGTCGTGGAAGAAGGAACAGAAAACACAATAATCAATAAGTTGGCTTCTTAATGAAATAGAAAGA